GGCCATTTTTAACTTGATCTAACCTCCCCAAAGTGACTTATTATTGGGAAAGAGAGACTGATATGTTTTTCCTCCCTATAAGAATGTATTTTAAAAAATTATTTAAACTTAAGTTTGGTGTATTCAGCTAAACATTTCTTTCCACTTTTAAAAATAAATCATAGCACAAGGATGAAAATGCAGTAGATGAAAGGAAACGTGATGAAACATGATTTCATCATGTTTGCTTACTTTCTTTTTAAGCATGATTTGAAACCCATTATTATTGTTGTTACACTTATTTTCTTATTCTTGGATTTTTTATTACTTTAAACCTAGACCAGACACTTTCATTTCTCATTTTCTAGTGAAAACACCCACTTAGCAATTTAAATCCTTTTTTTGCAATAGCAAATTGGTATTAAATCACTAGAGGGCCTCAAACTACTGCCTGCAGAGCAAGTGGAGTCATAGAAGAAGTGACTGCTTTAATAGCAATAGCTTTTTTAAACACAAGACAATGCTTTCTCATTTACAGAGCCTCTAAGGTTTCTGGAGGGTTCTGCAGCAATTCTTAAGTATGATTTGCTGAGCATTTTCCCTGAATTCCTCTCAAAAAAACCATCCTAAAAGTCGGTCTGATGTTTGGTTTGTCAATTCAGTTTAAGCAGGAGAGCTACTCTGGATGGCTCATAAAGGGGTTTGTCTCCATAGGGAAACCAAATGCTGCTGCTATTGCAGAATTTGTAGCTCTTTAAAAATTGCTTCCTATGTAAAGTCCAGTCCCTTCTTTCACAGGCAACAAATTGCCCAAGATTTTTCCAAAAATTGTCCCTTTAAACCCTCATGCAAGACAACTATAAGGCACAAAACCATAAACACAAACACCTTATAAAATGCCATAGGTAAAAGCATGGGAGATGAAGATATTGCCAGTATTCTGCTATTGCAACAATAGAGGAATATTTAGTTCATAAATGCTCAGAGGATCATAGGAAAATGGTCACATTGCACTGTAGAGGTGGGGAGGAGGGACAACGAGGGGCACAGGCAGGCTGTGTGTGTGGCACAACAGATCAGGAGGGGGTGTAGGGAGCAGAAAGACAAACATCAGATCAGGCAGGGAACAGAAAGCCAAGCAGAAGATTGGAGAAGGGGGTCAGAGTTGCACTCAGGGAGGGCATGCAGGGCTTAATTTGTAGTATGCTTGCCAAAAAGGTTGGCCCCCCACTGCTATAGACCCCAGCATTCTTTCAATCCTGACCTCAAGGAAAAATTTGGTTCTGAATCCTAAATTTGGTAGTCAGTTTGGCCCAAAGGGAAAAAGCAAGGCACCCTAACCAGAAACCTCTGACCTGTCCAAAAAACTGACAGGAGCAGGAGAACCCCCCATTAAAAATCCCCGGCTTTACCTGTGCCAACGCCCCAAAACTTCAGAGGAAAGCAAAACAAAAACCCACAAAATTTCAAACCAAAAGCCAGTATCATTCCTGAGGGGAAATTTTGTTTCCCTTGCTCCTCTAGGCAACCACCAAAAGCTTGGAAGTCTGGGACTGTCAGACACCTACTACACTATAAGACAGTTATCACTAAAGCCCCGTAGTAGGATTGCAAAACCTTGATTCTGTATATCCCACACACTAATTACTGCATCAAGAACTACTTGTCCGGTTAAACTTTCATAAACTTATTGAGTTCAGTCTTCAAGCTGTTTTGGTTCTTTGTCCCCACAGTTTGGCTCAAAAGACCATTCCAAAACTTCAGTGCTCTGATAGCTACAGAACTTGTAATTCCCAACCTAAATTTGTTCATATTCATGTGTGTATCTATATGTGCTATTAACATGCAGTAATAAACTCTGGCGCATATCGTGTCAGAGTTTATAGCTCCTAGGGGCTGCGTTTACATATGCGCCTGGGACGGCAGCACATTGAGCCAGGTTGCAGCATCCCTGGCTGGCAGAGGGCCCCAGAGATCAGCCTGTCAACCTGGGGCTGATCTGACCCAGCTCAGCGTGCAGCAGAGGGGCTGGCTAGGGCATGAGGGTGCTCCAGTGTGGGGCTACATGCAGTACTGAGGAGTAAAAAACTCTGCAGCAAGATATTACACGTATTTACAAGTACTGCCCTGCTGTGCAGTTTATTAGTTTCCTCTGGCCTAATAGGGCCACATGTGTAGAAATGAGGCATTTACTGCTGAGCTAATTAGTCTACTCTGCAGTAAATGTCTTGTGTAGATGTTCCTAGCCTAGTGTGTAGCCATTTGATCTTGTGTCAACATTGTTTAGTAGCCTAAAAATCTCTTCTCCCTCTTTAACACTGATTTCATAAAAGTATTTGTAAAAGGTAACTGTATCTTTTCTCAATCCCCTTTTTGTTAAGCTAAACAAGGCAAACTTCTTTAGTCTTCTTTCAGGTGATTATAAGGCTCATTTCTCTTAGCTATCTGACTGTCCCTTCTTTGTGGCTGTTTCTGTTTAAGTTAATCTTTTTTTAACACTGTTGACCAGTATTGCACATAGCTTTCTAAATGGGGTCTTATCAATGGCATGAAACTGTGACCCTGAACTATACCTTTAAGGCCTAGCCCATCTCACTGCCAGAACACCTCCAAATCACTCTCTGGCCCATAGAAAAATACGTACCGAATGGGCTGATGCCTGAGTGTGCAGACGGTCTGAAATACTAGCTCAAAGAATTAAGCACTGCTCTTATTCATCTAGGCCAAAACTGAATGGCAGCAATTAAGATATTGTTAACATTGCTTACTATGCTATTGCTGACTAAAACAAGCAAGATGTCAGCGGGATTACGATACTTTGTAGGGCTGCGTGATCTATAGTGAATCTCCGTCCATCTTGACATAGAAATGGGCAGAGCTAGGGCTATAGGCAGCATTTAAGAGATTGCGATCACTGGGTTCTTCCTACTCTGAGCCTTGAACTTAAACAAAGCATTGAGCCCTGCAAACACTTTTAACAGGCTCTTCTGGGGCCAGTACATGCACCATTTATCAGCATGTGTAATGTGTGCTATATAGATTGCTTCTTACAATTTATCCTAAGACCTTCTGCCTGTATCTGTCCTGTATGGAAAGAACGCCTCAGGGTAGCTTTGCACAATAATTACAACAGTGTATTAACATAGACATTCATCCACCATTTCCTCAGAGCTGCTAAGCTACAAAAATTTATGCTTAGAAAGCAACCAGCCAGAAAATGGTTTGTTCTAATAAATGTTGAGAAATGCTGCTGTTCTCTGAGAACATCTAGTTCTGCGATGCCCCAAGGGGTTATGGAGATCACACAAAACTGCTTCCTCACAGTGAGGGAGGCATGGGCGACTGGTGCCACCTGAGTCAGCGATCAAGGAGTGTCGTCCCCCGTCCTGTCCCCACCCCGTGACCGATCACGCTGTCCAGGGGTGGGAGGGAGTCCCCCCAGGACTGGTTGCACGTGCTGACCCAGAAGCAGTGTTCCCTCTAAGCTGGCTCTAAGAGGGAACGCTGCCTGGAAGTGCCAGCGGTGCACCCAGAAGGGCCAGGGATGCGCCTGGAAGTGGCAGCGGCACTTCTCCTGGCACCCCCATTCCCTGGCTGGTGCTCTCAGGTGGGGCACCAGTGCTCCCACCTGCTCCCCCTGCTGATGCCTAAGCGGGAAATGCTGCTGTGAGGGGCTGCACCAGCACCCTCAGGGGGGGCACGTGCACCCCTGTGCACCCCCTACGCATCGCCACTGGAGGGAGGGAATCCATGGGATGGGAGGATGATCTTAGTATTGCCCTAAGGAACCCTGTCTAGTGGACATACGCAGGGAACATATGCTCCCTGCAGGCACTCCCTGTAAGATCTGCCCTTTTTTAACACAGCACTCCGTCTCAAGCTTTGTCTTTGCTCTCGTGACCCTCACCCTACCACTTGAACTAACTTCCTGCAACCCCCATAGGACTGGATCCCAA